TAGCAGTAAAGGATAGTTGTTTATCAAGTCATCGAACAGTTGTTTCGCAGATTCATGTGGATGGAAACGTGTACACCGACAACTTTGCAAAGACTGAGAACCTCAGTGTGACAAAGGACTTCATTTCAACTTCTGTTTGAAATGTTTAGCCAGTACTTGGGAATAAACAAAATGTTCCTCCTGATTAGCCATCTTCGATGAAGTAGCAACAAACAGTCGAACGGCTGGTTGCCCTGTGCAAACTAACTAAACAAGCCAAAGTATCACTTGGTTTCTCTCAATGCGCCCACTCAGTCAAGCGAATTCCGAAGACATGTGGGTCTTCCAATATCACCCGCATGTTTACCGTGACACCAAGTTAAAGTCCAAAGACCAGCATCAGGTTATTCACAGTATCATGTAGATAAATCGGTCTACGGATCCACCGGCCAAACATCTTTTTTACATCCAACTTTAAAGAGGTAAAATATATTTGAGTGTGCAGTTTTAATAAACACACAAAATGACCTAACTAATCCTCTTCCTCTGACTCCTGCACTCGCAATTTGTTCTACTACGCTCGACTGACTTTTGATCTGAGCCTTCACAGCTAGGCACACTGAAGGTGTATATCGTATTCACCCCATATAATTCCATGGGTGATTGGAATCTAGTCCAAGGCGTAATACAAGCATTCATTAAATCCTGGTAAAAACAAGAAAGCTATTGTGGGCTTGTTTAGGGGTTATCTGAAAAGGATATCCATTAGAAGATATCGAAATAAAACCTGCTACACTAGTTTCATGCAAAAAACCTCCGTTATTTTTGACTAACGGTAAGGTAAATGCAGTATAGGCGGAATCCAAAGGGCTGCCGCTTTTATCCAGTAGCCTGATTTATCCGATCTGTCTAGAGTTACATCATTTCCTTATAAACTGTGTACATGTGAAAGACACGAGATCTGAAGGAATCCAGTATTTTGGTGTAATGCGCTCACCCTGGTCAATCACACAGCACTTCTAAAACCGAAAAATCAAGTGCATCTGTTTTATAAAAATTGAATCTAGTTGGGGTTCCCAGTACGGTTATTTATCATCCACCGTACAGACTGCAGATTTCAGGTAAACAAGATAGGTTTGCAAAAATGAGGAATTACATTTAATCCTTCAATACCAGGAGAGCCTAGCTGTTTATCAGTAGGATCTTTTATGCACGCCACGATTTATCCGGATAATCCCATCAAAAGCAGGCTTCCTGTTTCTCAGGACCGGTTCCATCTTCTTCGCCATTAAATCTAAAGATGGAAATGCCAAGCGGAAACAGTTCTCTGCGTGATTTAGCACACAGAGCAACCGAAGTGGTACAAAGTGGGACACTGACGTGGATCGCTCTCTTGTGTTCAGAGCAGTAGCTTGATTCACCAATATGACAAGCCTGAATCTTCTGCCGTCTTATGCCAAAACGACATGACGCCAAAAATGAAAGCGTGCCAAAAATTGAGGTGAACATTAAAGGACCAAGGCAGATGGTGCAACTAGATTGCGTTGCTTGTGCCAAGTTTGCGTTTCAACGATGGATCATGGATTTTGCAGGCTCCTGGCGAAATATTAAAATCAATGGACTGACCAGTGACAACACAATCTGGTAAAACCAGTCATCTACCAAGGCATTTCGACGTCCAACAGGTGTTCGCTCAGCCAGAAGTAGCTGAACACTAATGGTCAAGTTCAACTAGGCAGGTGTAACTGCTCATGCAATTGATATTTTAGCGTATTTCATGGATTTCATCCCTAATGTACATTCCTATTCTACACTCATGATCAGTCGAGACATTTTACAGATGAACAGTATATGCTTGTGCCAAGACCGATTCTGGAGTAGCATGGATATCGCTGGCGCATGGTAGTTACTCCACAAGTTTAAGTTGAAACCCGTCAGGCTGATTCAAATTCCAACCAAGACGCGTAACGTGTAGGTTTTGGAAGCCACATACTAGTTTGAGATCGTCATTTATCGCAATAAAACTTAAATATTCACGTCTAATTGCTTCATCAGGAGCCTTGAAATAATGACAGCCTATCGCGCGATCTAAACATCTTTTCTAGGCTGAAAGGAAGTGGTAGAGATTTCACTTTTAACAGCCATCGAGGAGGCTTAAAAGAAAGCTTTGTCTCAAACAACATAATTCATTGTAGCTGCAACATTTGCCCGAAGCTATTAAATACTCACACCAGCCATAAGTTTTCTGAAGCCTCTTAATTTGGTAAATAATATTGAGGGTCCATGGCTGCCTGATGAGTGACAAGGAGGGCTTAATCATCTGTGGACAGTCCAGGCAGTTTTTGGTGATGTTGTAAGTAGTGTTGGGTAAAAAATTAATTAAATATGTTGAATACAGCTCACTGAGACGGCCATCACAGCACGAACAGTTGAAGAGGGATGTGAGGGCTGCGCTTCTGTTATCCAGGTAATGGGGCCATTAAAAAAACAGAAATTCATTCACTTAGAAGCCATACTAGGTAGAGGGCCTGTGACTGTGAGTTGATTGTTCGAAGAAAGCAATGTGAACAACATCACGTACGACAAAGAGTCCAACTTACTATAAAAAGCCGGAATATATCTATTTCAGTGGATGTTTTGAAATTAAAGTTTATGCTGAGGTCAAGAATTGAGACGATCCAAGCACATGTTATATTTTTCCTTAGAAGACCTTTGTAGTAAAACAACAACTTTAAAAAACCTTACTTCAGGTTTAAGCAGGCACGAAAATATAAAAACAAAACGGATGATGCAGAAATATGTAACACGCTTCAGCATGCCTCCACTTTTAACATAACTAAGAGCTGACTGGGAAAAAGGGTAAGAATCAGGTACAAATCGTTTTGAAATAGACTAGAACCTAAATTTCTTATGCCTAAACATGCTGCTTCAGTTGGTCAGCCAATTGCTTTTTTCGGAATTCCATGATGGTCCCTGCTACATTTGGTCGACGTGGGACTTCGCACACGGTCCCAACTCGATTTAAACGCACGTACAAAGTGGCACAAAAAACAAAGCCGTAAGCGTAAGTCTGAGCGTCGACTCAAATAAGCGTCTCGCTCGTTCTGGAACGCCCATATATATTTGGATCAAGGGCCTGTTTCTTACTGCTTCTCGTTTCGCTTTTAAGAACGCTTAAATGCTCAAACCTCGCCTGACCGTCTGCAAGCTCCCGGACTGTGAACAGAAGTAAACTTATCAAAACCATATATTTAAATCCATCTCGGATAGTGCACCATCTAACGTTGCCCTTACTGAAATGTAGTTCTCGTGCCCATGTGAAGCAAATGGCGCTCCGCTTGTGATTTCAGCTCTTCGGCACAGACAACAAAATAGAAAGACAACTGTTCCAAGTTTATATAACACAATGTGCAAAAATTCGGTTTTCTTTATTGTTCCGACAGCAGTTCGGACATAGTTGGACTAAACTCACTGTTGACAGCCTTGTACTTCCAGATGAGATAACAAAGTTGTCAAGCTCGTTGATACGGTTCTTCATTCATGATATTTCCGCTGCAAGATAACAATGAATACATTGATTCAATCACAAATAGAAATCAAGATGACTTTCAGCCTTAGAGCAAGAAGAAAGTGGATCACGTTGATGGGGGTGATGGGTTGATGCGGTTTGTGATGCGGCGCTGCTTGACTTATTCGCACCAAATCAGGATAGACAAACATAATGCAGTTTTCATTTCGTAATATTTTGCATCCCGCGGAGAGTTCTCATCAAACGGATAACGTGATATTCACCGTGCACAAAGATCAAAACAAAGTAGTCAGGGTAACACGAAAAACGACAATTTTTTTACCTTGGTGAATATCGACAGACCGAGAAATATGCTTGTCCAACAGGGTTGCCTTTACCATCCTTCATAGTCTCACAAAAATTCTGATAGCACTCCAAGTGCTTTGTTTTTTTCCCAAACGACCTATAAGAGAAAGTGGTTGTCGGAGTTTCAGCAAAGATGGCTTGATTAAGCAGGTGATTATTCAGCACCATATGTGTTTTGCTTACTAGGATGTATGGGTCGGTTTCCGTAGAAGTTTGGTTTGTGAGTTTTCCAAATTTGTATGTCTTGTGTTTACCGAACCAGAGCTCCACTGGGTTTTAAAAAAAGGGGGAGAAGTCATTAGTAGTTGAATGCTTCTGAAGTAACCAAAACGTTAACATCTAAACCCTTCTACTTAAAACATCCCATTTAAAAGGTCCTTCAACAAAGGGAAACCTGTTTTCAAATCATAGATCGGTCGATAGTAGGAAAACAATTCTTGCGATGAATCAGGTGCATATCCTGGCACAGAAGTTTCTGACGTATGGGAAAACTAGACATCAAGTAGCTCAGTGGAAGAATAACTTCATAAAATGGGTAGAACGTCCATTTGAGAAGTGACCATTTGAGATGCCACCGGGTATGTGATTACAAGATGGGATTTTCGCAGCTGAACAGTAACTGGCATCATACCCTGTCTAAGTGCTGGCAAGCTAATCGCTCATAGCCGAGAGCTCCGATGTCCGAACTATTAGATAGAAGCTTACGGGTCCGAAATATTCTGGAATTTCCTTCTAATATTTCCTGAGAAGGATGAGATAAATTTACTGCATAGACCGCCTTCAATTACAGGGAGACACCTCAACTGATAATAGATAGATCTCCTCACACTACAACTGTCTAAACGGTTATATATATATATATATATATATATATATATATTCCCACGGAGTTGTATTAAGACCGCCAGTTCTTCAGCTGCACCCTGTGATCATTAACCTTCCAGTTGAAAATCGCCGGGCAAACAAAAAAGACAGCGATACAAACAGTACGAGAACCTGTTAGCTAATCAATCAACAGGAGCAGTTGTCAGAATTACTTGACTTACTTTTCATTGATATCACTTGATACTGCCAGATTTTCTCCGTCATTTATTTTGGCTTCATGTTTATAAACACATTTTTCGGCCCATTTCTTGGCATCCTCATTCAGCTTATTGTCCAAAACCTGTTTGATTCAAAGGTGATTTGTTTTATATTATTATTGCAGTCAAGATTTGCCTGATGACTAAGATATATCTGCGACGTAAGTATAAATAATCTTACAGTTAGTATCCACCAGGATAACAAAAGAGAGCATTCAACTCTGGTTCTTGATTTCACCTCAGGTTGCGAAATGTTCGAATCTTGAGTGATACGTTGTAAGTATTGGCAATTCGGATTTCTTCCCAACATGTATAAAGTTGGGATGCAGCATTGAATCACTGCGTGAGTCTTCAAGATGCTCTTTAACCCGAAAAATGCCACTGCACGTCCATAGTGTTATGCGGTGTGAAAACCGTTCCCTTGATTGGTCACAAAATGTTTGCAAGTAAATTGCCAAGTACAGTAAACAGATGATCAGCCACCTAATTTATACCACTTTCTCAGACCGCCTGGTGTGTCACTCAAACGGCAGTGAATAAATGGTGGTTGAGTTGTTTGCACATGGCCTATTTTTGGGTTTAAGCAAACCTAAACTGACCAGCCAGCCACTGAATACATTCTCATGTTTTGGCGTACTTTCTATGCAGGTTTACTAACCAATGACATTTGATTTTTAAGGGTTTTGGATGAGTGCCTCGGGATACTTTAGCATACCATAGTTATCAAAACGGTCACCCAACAGTTTGGCACTGCTCTCAATTTTATTGTTGGTCTATTTCACCTCACGCATTTTGCCTTGTGGAAATTGGAGTATTCAGTGAGCTTATACGTAAGTACATGTGTGTCGCGAGCAACCATATGGAACTTTTCAAATTAACATTAGTGAGAACAACAGACCAGTAACAGAGACTGAAACTTAACTGCCATATAACCATGAAGCAACAATACTTTATTGAAAAATATAAAGAAGACGGATGGTTGGGAACTTATTCGAAGAACCACTGTGTCCTCATACAATCAAAAAAGCGGCGCCTACACTTTTGAATTTTAAACTAGACACTTCTAGGCATCATGTCGAATTAAGTCACCAACAGCAGGGCTGGCCCGACTTTCTTTGGAAACCTCACCCGACACAAGTTCAGTGCACAGTGACAGTAGATTTCTAGCCGGAGAGTCAGACTAGCCAGCGGCAGCACTTTCACCACTGGGATTGGTTGCGTTCCGTGTCCTGTATTGTTTGCGACTGCACGGCTATGTGAGGCCCAACCAGGAGGATGCGAAGATCCCACAGCACACAGATAATGAGCAGTTGAATTTCTGGCTGCCATGTCTTGACCTGCTCCCTTGCAACTGTCGGTGGGAACAGAGACAAAGCACTCTTTAGCAGACGATGTCCAAATATACATGGCACATGCTCCAACCACCAAAACCCGCCAAATTTTATCTACTGCCCTAACAAAGCTGGTCCTGCTTATGCAACACTTCTTTGCGTAATCTTTGCAGCCAGCCTACATACAGTGTGCTAAGGAGGTTTTGGTAATCAAACATTTGAAGCCGCCCGAGGTCCTCGAATCGGCGAAGCCATCCCGCAAACCTCAAACATACAGTGAGGTGGTTTCTACAGTCGTGCGGTCCTTTAGCTTCAGCGAAACTTTCTTCTGACGTAAGTTGGCGAACGATTCTTGTGCCTTGCTCATCAATGTATTAAATTTAACTGTCGTTTGTACAATGAAAAATGTATATGAGCCAGTCAAAACACTTAGGCTCTTCATTTTGTGGTTCCAGATACTTAAAAATGGACTGGAGTTGTGCTCTACATTTTTAAGGTACAGAACGCAGTCCGAAACACAAGATTTCCTTTGATGTTCAGTCCAAAATAATTTGCTTGGACACTAACAGATAACAACAAAAAAATTCCATCAAAATGTTTCGAATTTATAAATGTCAGTTCAAACACCTAGATTCATTGTGCACAGCTGTGCGTACCCAATGGAAAAATGAACAAAACTGAGAGGAATACCCTGATAAAACTCCTAGTCGTCAGGTGACTTACAGACTGCTTAGTCTATACTTCAGTCCAACGAAAGACACGGAGATAAATGGCACGAAGAATGTCTACAAACTTCGATGTCATATCACTCTGTCTAAGAATATTTAGAACCAACCTATTTACAGGTTCGAAGACTTCTTTAAAGTAGAGGAAAACTACCAATGCTGGTTATCAGTAAAGAGGCGCCGCTTAAGCACCTGACACAATGTCATGGTATGCCCAGCGCACCCACTTCATCTGTGTTCTCTCAGAATTGCGTCTTACATGTCAAAGACAAGGAATACAATACGATGGAAATCATCAGTCAATCACGGCATGCATGAGACAGGCATAACCAACTGTTCTCCATAATTCCCCGACATATCTTCGTGTTACCAAATAGGTAAGAACAACCTAGTCAAAGGGAAACACGAAGAATTCCCGTCATCTCATCATAGACTACAGCTCAAAACGAGTGGGTTTGGTGAAACATATAAACACAGTGAACAACGGAAAACTAATGTTGGAAAGGTGAAGAATTCCCGTCATCTCTGAACAAGGCATCATAGACTCCAGCTCAAAACGAGTGGGTTTAATGAAACGTATAAACACAGTGAACAACGGAAAACTAATATACTGTTGGAAATATTCCGCCCAGTTAGCTAGATGTTCATCTTTATCTTATATTAGATTTCAAATCTCTTCTTTGATCCGCTCAATTAAATGCATTTTAGGGTCTGTTTTGCGGATTATCTGAAACAGCTTCGGCGGAATCTCAGCAAATGTGGCCTCTTCAATTTCTAGAAATCTCTGGAACGGACTGACACACTAGGCCACGCCCCAGTTTGTTGATCTGACGACCTGTCAGTAGTCCAAATTTAGGGCTCAGCTCATCAGTTGAAACTTGCACTAATTATGGGATAGACTTTGTTCTCTTTTTTAGTGTGAGCAGGTAACCTTAGGCCCTAGTCGAAGTACAGACGCTTCACTCCGTTATTCCTAATATAGCTTGAGTGGAAAATAAACACCAAATTTGCCTATCGAAATCACGAATAAGGTTATGGATGACTGTGATAACTTGTCTTTCCACAGTCATCTCCCTGACTCTGAAGGACAATGACAAACCAACTCAGTACGACGAAATATAGCAAACCTAGTAGCACTTGAAGTTTTCTGGCCGTAAAAATGCACGCATCAGACTGCATGTGATTTCTGATCGTCTGAAATCGCACAAAGATTTGTATTATGCTCAACTTGTTAAACGATTACTGGTGAATAAAATTGGGCTCCTGCTTGGTTTTCGATGAACTGATACCAGAAGAACTACGTAGTCATTTTTCACTGAAATCGATATTTGAATGTGCAATGTAAATGTTTTCCCTCCGAGTTTGCTTTCATATATCACAAAAATCACGCTCGGAATTCGTTTACAAAACACGCGCTCTACTGCGATCAGTGGTATCATATCTTATCACTGTTCTGCCGGCTAGTCACTGCACGAGCACTAGGCAACACACGAACTATTTGCAAATACTTTTCTTCACCGGCTCAAACCAATAGGTCCTCGCTACAAAAGCCGTAGACACGGAGGCCTGATAGCATATCGTGATACGGATCCCAGTTGAATGAAATGCATGCGTTTTTCCCGGCCGCAAGGAGGAGGTCCTCGAATTTAGAGATTTAGGGCATCGTTTACAAAATGGAAAAATTTAAGCGCGTGAAATGTAAAATGTGAGATGTGTAGAGCAAGAAGCAGCCGGGATACTGTATTTGAATCGGATTAGTATATTAAGAGACTCATCATTTTTCATGTGTACTTACCAAAACTGGCATTTTCTTCGGTCGGGAACCGAACCGTTAAGTATCATTTTCCGGAAGGCATTGTGTAGATCCCTGAATTTCTCCGGACTTAGAGTTTCCGAAGCATGGTGTTGAGTCGAGACCATGTCAACTAGTATTATGCTCAACTTAACAATAGCATAAACACTAAACATGCACTTTATGCTTATACACCCAAACTACTCAGACGTCCTAGTTTTACACTCCTCGTGACTGTTCAACGTTCTCCGTTCCTCGACAGATTGCGTTTGCTTGTACACTGAGAGAAGAGGCGCCAAAAACCTCTTCTAGATAGTCACTGATCTTTATTGACACCTGTTATTTGTTTTGCACCAGAGTACACAGTTATATGCAGTAGTCGTACATGTGATTGATAACAGCGGAATAATGTGGTGAAAGCACCAAATCAACCGTCGGACGCAGGGACACTAACCGCCACGGTGAAGGAAATCGGGCGGTACAAGCAACCAATCAAACTCGATAACGACAGACCACAACGCAATGCGAATCAAGGCCAGAGAGAAGCTACTAAAATTAGAAGCCGTCGGGATA